GGCAGCAAGTGGGGCCAGCCCCACCTGGCCCAATAGTGCTCCCGCCCAAGTCCCCGGCTGCATGTGGTAGCAGGGTGCAGGGTCAGTTCCACTCGGCTTCTGCGCTCCCACCCAAGTCCTTGGCCACAAGGGGCGGTAGCATGCAGTGCCAGCGCAGCCTGGCCCCACAGTGCTCCCACCTGTGTCCCCAGGCACATCTGGTGGCAGTCTGTGAGGCCAGCTCTACCTGGCTCTGCAGCACGCAGCTTCTGCGCTCCCACCCGAGTCCCCAGCTGCACGTGGTGGCAGCATGCGGGGCCACTGTGACCCAGCCCTGTAGTGCACTAGTGGCTCCTGCACTACTGCAGTGTGTGGGGCCAGCTCTGTCGGGCTCTCTGTGCATGGCTCTCTGCGTCTTGCCCCCTTTTCCACATCAGGAGTCCGTGGCCCCCGTCTGGTGGGGTCCGTACCTGCATTCCCACTCTTGCAGGCAGGGAGGCTGGGAACAGCCTTGGGATGGCAGGCACAAGCTCTGCCAGGCAGAAGCTTCTTGTCCTAGCACTTCCTGGCTTGGGGCTGGGGTGGGGGTTGGTTGCTTAACAGCTAGAGCTGCACCTCCTACATGGAGGCACTGGCTTGCAGAGGGGCAGCGAGGGCTGGGGGTTATGAAGGGGCCCTGTGGGCCGGGTCTGGCTTGCCCCTGAGCTAGATGAAGGGTGGTTCTGTGATGAAGGCACAGGACTGGGACCAGAGGCAACCCAAGCAGGGCCTGGGGCAAATCGGCCCACGCGGGGCCCTGCCCCGACTCTGATCCCATGGGCTCCGGACCTGAAGAAGCCATTCGTGGTGGCAGGGGGGGTGGGTAGTGAGCAGCTGGACATGGAGCTGCCGCTCCGCCTGGCTCCACGGGGCCCCCCGAAGTGCGGGGCCTGGGGCAGTTGCCCCAGTTTGCTCCCCTTAGGGATGGCCCTGACTGGGACTCGCACAGGAAAACACCCTAACTTTGACCTGGAGCAACAAGTTGGTGCTTCATCTGTAAAACACAGTGAATCATATTTATCCTCTCAGGAATCTTTTGAGGCCAAAAGCCTTGGTTAAACCCTAAGGTTATACCAATTAGACTAAATCTGTTTAGAAATTGATTTAATTAAATTGGCGTATCATGCTCTTAATCAACTGAATCAGTATAAGGCACCCTTTAAACTGATTTAGCAACATCTTAACAAGGGGGATCAAGCAATATTAGTTTCCAAGTGGATTCACTTCAATCAGTACAAACCTCTGAGTGTGGACAGGGCTTTGATTTCATTAGTGCTTCTGAAGCACTGCGGATTTTTCAGATGGCAGGCACAATGAAAGTACAAATTATCTACTGCCAACAGATGACACTTATTTGCAACCACTCTGAGGGCTGTGTGGTGGCAATTCTAAAGTAAAACTGTCTAACACTTGATTCCATGTAAAATTACACTTGTTGTGCTTTTAATTATTGTGATACAAAGCAGCTCTGTTTTTGTTTTCATTTTTTATAGTGTAAAGAACTTGCCAAGTCCAAAGCAGAAGTCGCTTGTATTGCTGTGTATGAAACAGATGTGTTTGTAGTCGGAACGGAGAGAGGAAGAGCCTTTGTCAATACAAGGAAAGATTTTCAGAAGGATTTTGTTAAATACTGTAAGTTTTCAACAATGTATTTTGTATTTCACACGCTACTTAATTATACATTTAAGCACACTGGATTTGTCACCCAAAGATGGTACAGTGCCTGGGTCTTACTGCAACTGATGGAAATATAGTACGTAGATAAGTGTTTAAGAGCATCTTCTTCTAAACTATATTTAACAGCTGCTATCACATTTTAGAATGCTATTTTAATCTGAGCGAGAAGGTGGTTTTATTATGGGACTGGCTAATACAGTTTTAAGTTAGACAGCCTGTGATGAAGCTAAGTGGTGTTTCATATCCTGCTTGCTAAATCAGTTTTATAAAGTACCCATTTAGGCAGACTTCAGATAAGTAGTGGGCAACTTCCAATGACAGAAGACAGGCCTTAGCTCAAGGGCGGGCAGTTATTTCATGTGGAGAGCTGCTTACTGAGTTTCAGCAAGCCATCGAGGGCTACATGACAAGAAGCCAGGGGCAGATTATATATTAATTCTCTAAATTTTTTAGGGGCCCCGCAGGCCAGATAGAATGGCAAGAGTGGTTTCCAGTGAGCCAGTGGAATGTTTATTCCATTGTGAAAACAGCTGGACATTCCTGATGATTATTTTTTTTTTTTTTGCTAAAATGTATGAATATAGCTAAATATAAAGTAAAATAAATGCAATACACTTTAAATTTATTTTATTTATTTTATGTATAGCTAAATATTCTAGTGAGGAATTTATTTCCTCAGTCTGTTTCCTATACAAGGTGGGATTCTCAGTTGTTTCTTCTGCTTGATCTTCAGTAAAGTTACAATTCTTCTCTTGCATTGGGAAGTGATTGTGATGTCAAAATACAGTATTACAATTTCACTGAGAAATAAAATAGTGCATGGGATATTGCTGAACCCAGCCCTTATTTAAATGCAAATGGATTATTTAAAGGCAAAGACTGTAAGTATGATACGCTCTTGATGGACATATAGGCAGATGTTTCTGTGTGACTTCACTGCAACAGTTTCTCCTAAAGCTGCTGTAGCATGTACCTTCCTCTCTGAAGGTGGGATGTGTGGGGTGCTGTTGTTGCTCTGAGTCAGTGAACCAGGCATATTTTTGAGTAATGCTTTATGTCTGAGTGAAGGCAATGTCTTTTGGGACCCTGTGCAGTGAGGTGGACAGGAAGAGAGCAGTTCTCCACTCGATTTGTATTTCCTACCTATTTCTTGTGGTAACGAAAGGTCATTTTTTGTGTAGTTGGCTGCATGATGCTAGGAGGTGTATATAGACAAGGTCCTTAACCTAAACAGATGAGGGGAGAGATACAGGAACAGAAATGTAGCAAATCTTTGGAAAATTAAGCTACAACTGTTTTTGTTTTTGTAATGAATTTATTTATTTGGTGGGTCATGCAACAGAATCTTAACTACAAAGCAATTCTTTTCACATAAAGCCAGTTTAATTTAAGGTACTGATAACATTTTACTCTTACCTGCATTGGTGTGTGTCAGAACTGCATATGGTCACAATGTGCTGCTGTATTTCAGGTTCTGCAGTATTTTGTTGTTCACTTCAGAGATCGTGCCTTTGTTTTGTCCACATTTAAAAGGTTTTCATTCTTGTAAAGGGTTCTTGCATTGGGTTCTTACCCAGTGAACAGTTTCAGCTAGGATCTGCTTTTAGTCTTCTACAAAGGCAGTATGTAGAACTTGATCAGCTTTAAATTTGATCAATCTCCAGATTTCTGCAAAATGGTCCATTGACAGACTTTAGGATTGATCTGCTCACTTTTTATGAATTTATGTCCTTAGTCTCTGTGTTGCAACTTGTAGAGGGACACATTAGCCTTTTGTTGCTGTGGGGTATTTTTGCTACCAAGACGTCTGTTTTTCTTCCGTGCGGACCTTTAGTTTACCTGCAGTCTAGCACCAATAGTGCTGTTACTTTCTGGGGGTTTTCTGCTCTGCGTGTTGGCTGACTAGTTTGTCAACATGTGGTACCCAGCGTTGAAGCATTTGGGGATTCAGGTGTTAGCATCTTTTTGTTTTGTCACTATGGTGTTAGCTGTTGCTAATCCTTCTTCAGTTGTCATTAATAGGTAACTGAATTGAAGAGGCAGGAGGTGTCAGGAGTATTAATATTTCACTACTTCATGACATCCCTTCCAAACTAAAACAAAACAGTAGTCAAGAAGAAAAAGGGTTGTGAAAGCATGCAAAGAGGAGGAGAATGCCAAAGAAGGCTTACCTAACCTTATTTCCCAGGGATCTGGGAAAGTTTTTGGTTTAATTATTCCTAATGAATTGTGTTTGTGTTTTTAGTTTTAACTATTTTCAGTCATGTTGAGTGTTTCTCCTTCCTAGGCAGTTACCATGTTTTATGCTTTTCCTGGTATGATACTAAAAATCAGGTTGGTAGCCACTTATCCCTGCAGTTAAGATGTGAAAATTAGCAATAAACTTGTCTTGTGACAATAGTTGTCCTCCAGAAAAAATGGAGAACGTTTGTAAGATAAAAACCCAAGGTAAGTGCTGTGAGCAGCTTCTTTATATACTGTAAAGGAACTAAAAAAGGTTCAGTCACTGTTTTTAAAAAAATAATCCTTTGCAACTCACTTTGAGGACAGCGATATTGTTTCTAGTGAGAATATTGAGTTTCTTTCTTTTATGTGTCTGTAGAACAAGAATTGTCCTTTCTTTTCCCCTTTAAGGTGCACAGGTTGAGGTATGTTAGTTCATCTGCATTTCTGGTTATAGGCAGTTGCTTTTCCTCCCTGTTGCGTGGCATATGTATATGTGTGTCTCCTTTGTCATACTTACCCTTTTGTTTCTACTTCCCCTCTGTTCTTCCTTGTTTTTCTTCTACTTCTCTTCTTGTGTCTCTTGTGATTAGGCAGTCTCTAATGATTTGCAGGGCTCAGGAGCTGCCATGTACTGTTAGTAATGGCTTTTACTTGGTGGGCTGTACTGATGGTGCTTATGCTGCTGAGGGATTTTTAGGATGGAAACAGTACCTGCGTTCTGTAGAAGTGCAGAACTGAGAAAATAAAGATATCAGAACCTATGTATTACAGAAGTCAAACCAAGAGCAATTTCCTTTTCATAAGCTAAGTGATTATCTCTTTCTGCTCCTTGCCCTTCTCAACAGTGCTTCTGAAACAAGGTCTTTCAGCTGTGGTGCACCAAAGAATTAAAATCAAATTTAAATAAGGGAGCCATTTGGCGTTGGGCCTTCCACTGATCCAGAATATATATTGCCTGTCTGAACTATGTCGTTAAGATTCCTGTAAATCTTTTTCTGCAGTGCTTGTTTCAAGTTGTTTTGTGCAGCGCTTGTTTCATCATCGACGTATCGTCCCGTGTCAGGTACATTTAATGCTGCAGCTTCTGGAGTAGTAAGGCCAGTGAAATCAATGGGATGTTTCAGGATTCAGTTGCAGAATATTTCAAACCCCCAGGTCAGGAGTACCAGATGCATGCAATTTATAGCAATTTTTCCACGTTAAACTGTTCTTTTTAATGGTAGAATTCTGTTTGTTGATTTGCTTGCTTTAAAAGTTTTAAAGGACATCCTTTTATAGTTTGTATTTACATGCTAGCACAAATAGTGAAAAATACCATCTGTAGTAGCTGATTTCTTTTTATGTTGGTCAGGGGCTGGTTCCCTGACATTAGCCCCTGTGTATAAAGATACTGGCTTTATGGATGAGGCTGTACTGTGAGGAAATAATTTATTATTTTTTTAAAATTCTGAGACCTGTATGGTATTCTTTGTTAGACATGGGCTTTTGTGACTTTGTGGTACTGCTGTTGTTGAATATGTTGGGAGGAGAGTTCAATGAGTCATTAAAATGTATATTGTCGAA